GACTTATCATTACTGAGTTGTAAGAGTTCTTTATAGATTGAGGATACTAGGCCCGTTTCAGATAGATGATAAGCAAATACTTTCTCCCATTTATGAATGTCTTTTCACTCTCTTGATTGAATCATTTGATGCACAAAAGTTTTTAATTTTGATGGAGTCCAATTTATCTATCTTTCATTTTGTTCCTTGTGGTTTTGTTGTCATACCTAAGAAACCATTGCTTAATTCATATTCATGAAGACTTACTCTGTTTTTCATCTAATAATGTTATACTGTTAGCTCTTAAAGGTAGATGTTTGACCCATTTTGAGTTAATTTTTGCATATGGTAAGTGAAAAGGATCCAACTCCTTTTGCATGTGGATATCCAGTTGCCCCAGCATTTTTCTTCATTATTTTTTCTTTTTTCTCTTCAGAAAATAATCCCAATTGAACTATATTCAAGTTCAATGATTCTTTTTTTTCTGCCACTCAAATCTACTGTTGAATCTTTATAGTAAAATTTTCATCTTTTATTGTACTTTTTAACTTCAGAATTTTTATTTGGTTCTTTTTTTGTTACTTACTTATTTTGGTTGTTGTTCGTTTTTCAGTCAGAGTCTCACTCTGTCACCCAGGCTTGAGTTCAGTGGCATGATTTTGGCTCACTGCAGCCTCCACCTGCTAGGATCAAGTGAACTCCCACCTCAGCCTCCCAAGTAGCTGGGACTACAGGCACACACCACCATGCCCAGCTAATTTCTTATTTTTTTAATTTTTTAGAGATTGTGTCTCACTATGTTACCCAGGCTGGTCTTGAACTCCTGGATGCAAGCAATCTTCCCACCTTGGCCTCCCCAAGTTCTGGGATTACAGACGTGAGTCACCACATGCAGCCTTGGTTCCTTTTTATAATTTCTGTTTCTTTATTGATAATTTCTATTTGGTGAGACATTTTTCTCCTGGTTTCCTTTAGTCTTTACTCATGGTTTTCTTTAGCTTTTTGGACATTTTAAAAACAGTTTATTTGAAATCTCTTCCTAGTAAGTCCAATGTCTTAGTTTTGTTGAGGGACAGTTTCTATTAATTTTCTTTTTTGTTGTGAATGACACAGATTTTCTTGTATTTTTGTGTGATTTGTATATTATTTTTGGGTACATGTTTTTGAAATAATATTCATTTTGAATATTATACTGTGTTCACTGTGGAGATTAAATTTTGCCGCCTCCCCAGGATTCGTTATTACTGCTTTTTTGTGAGTTTCTTTGTTTAATGATTTTTTTTAAACAATTTATTTAATTTCTTTATTGATTAAAATGTTTATTTTAAATAATTATGGGTATATAATAGTTCTATATGTTGATGGAGTATATGTGATGCTTTTATTTTTTAAAGTTTAAATAAAAATTTATTAATTATTATGGATACATGTTAGTTATACATATTTATGGGGTACATATGATGTCTTGATACAGGCATACAATGTGTATTGATCCAATAGCATAATTGGGGTACCCATCACCTCAAGCATTTTTCATTTATTTGTGTTAGAAACATTCCAATTTCACTTTTTTTGTTATTTAAAAATATATGATAAATTATTGTTAGCTATATTCACTCTTTTTTACTATCAAATACTACCTCTTGTTCCTTCTATCTAACTGTATATTTGTACTTGCTAACCATTACCTCTTTATCCTTGCCCCCACAACCCTTCCCTGCCTCTGATAACCCTCATTCTACTCTCTGTGTTTATTAGTTCAATTGTTTTAAGTTTTAGTTCTCACAAATGAGTGGGAACATGCAAAGTTTTTCTTTTTGTGCCTGGCTTAGTTCACTTAACATAATGAATAATGTCCTCCAGTTCCATCCATGTTTTTGCAAATGACAGGATTTCATTCTTTTTTATGACAAATAATATTCCTTGTATATACGTCCCACATTTCCTTTCCCCATTTATTCACTGATGGTCTTTAGGTTGATTCTCTATTTTGCCTCTTGTTAATAAAGCTTCAATACACATGACAGCGCAGGTATCTTTTTGATAGACTGATTCCTTTCTTTTGGATATATAACCAACAGTGGGATTGCTAGGTCATATGATAGTTCTCTTTTTATTTTTTTAAGGAACCTTCATACTGTTCTCCCTAGTGGCTGTATTAACTTACCTTTCCACCAACAGTGTATGAGGGTTGCCTTTTCTTCACACCTTTGCCAACATTCATTATTGCCTATCTTTTGTTCATTTTTAAATCATATTTTTTTGGTATTGAGTTGCTTGATCTCCTTATATATTCTGGTTATTAATCTCTTGTCACATGGGTAGTTTGTAGATGTTTTCTTCTATGGGTCCCTCTTTGTTGATTGTTTCCTTTGCTGTGTAGATTTTTGGCTTTATGTGACTCCATTTGTCCATTTTTGCTTTGTTTCCTGTGCTTTTGAGGTCTCAGTCAATAAATCTTTGCCCAGACCAATGTCCTGGAGTGTTTCCCTGATGTTTTCTTTCAGTAGTCTTATAGCTTCATATCTTAGGTTTAAGTTTTTTTTTTTTGAGACAGAGTTTCACTCTTGTTACCCAGGTTGGAGTGCAATGGCGCGATCTCGGCTCACCGCAACCTCCGCCTCCT